TTCAAGGCAGAAGACTTAATTCAACCTTGGGATCGTCATATTTCAAGATTTTAAGAGATCGCCTTTAAAGTCCTTTGTGGGCTACCCTTTATTTCTTGTAATACACTTGGCTCAATTCAATTTTGTTGATAGCTTATTAAACATGTCGCCTGACAAGCAGCAATCCTAAGAACCATGGGACACCTAAATACAGTTCATTTAATTACATTGTTATTTATGATATTATACATGGGATGTCTCAAAAATCTTTTCTTTTTAATACAGTTTTGTTTTTTCCTTTACTAAATTTTTTTTTCCTTTTTTTTAATATGTTTACAACTTTATATTATCAAAACAAGATAAAATGCGGGTAATAACTTCTTTTTCTTTACACTTTTTGGACAAACAACTGTCATAAATTGATAAATTATAATCATATGCACTTTAACTGTCGATCCAATGTATTCCCTTTAACTTCTAATCAAGGAGATAAAGTGTTTTTTCTATATGGAAAAGATATAAATTCACTTCTACAATTGTATCTGTTGCTTAACACCGCATGTTTCTTTATAAAAAAAATTAATCTTTTTAGAGAGAAATTTTTAAAATTCTATTAATTTGATCCCAGAGAAAAATTTAAAGGATACCACTGTGAATCTGGCATGCAACTCTTCAATTAAACAATCGAAATCACGTTAACAGTCCCTCATCAGTTCAACTCGAATCATGACAAAATCCTCTAAACAAATGTTCTCACCTTTCTCCATCTGGATTTACGCTAGCTTCATCCATAAAGTCTTCATCCTCATCCTTCAGGCAATATTTCCGTTTATCTTCCAACATGTATTTATAATGGGAGGAGTTAAAGAAATTATTAAACACTAGCTAAAGTTCCCAGCGTTGCCCGTGCAATTTAAAAAACTGCAAAAAAAAAATTATTTATAAGAAAAATTATTAAAAATAAAAATCCTTGAAAAAAAAAATCATTTTTTTAGCCTTTGCTACGCAAAGGTAACCATGGGTTCCCTCAAAATAATTCAGCCAGCCGGTTGGTCAGCTATAGCTGACATACATATATATATATTAGCGAAGAGTTTATTATGTAGATTCGATTGCTGCTAAAATGCAGTGGCTGGAAATAAAATACAAAATGGTTTTCATAAAAAAAAAAATTTAACATAAAACTATGATTTCAATGACTAGCAACCATATTTTTTAGCCATCATGTATAATCATGATCATAACAATACCAAAGTAATTTTGAGATAATTATCATATACGAAAAAAAAATACATTTTTGAAAGAGCCTTCTTAAAAACAACCATATAGCTCAGCTGGAACTTTGTGAAGAAGTTTTAGCTTGAAATTAAAAATGAATTTGTCAGCTGTGAATTGAAAATGTATTTTAGATACCCCAAACGAACATACGGAAGACTTGATATTTCTTTCCTAAAGTTGAGAACACACTGGAAGGAGAAACCCTGATATTTTCCTTTAAATATCGAATTTCCGAAAACATTTCGAAATTACGAAAATGTCTTCCATTGTTGTTTTGGGATTTATCACAGTTTGTTTATTCCCAACATTTGTTATTTCGATAAGATGTTTGTCCATATACAATTCATTTGTAAACTTCGTTATTCATGCACCCCCCCCCCTTCATTTACTATAGTTGCGCCTAAGCGTGAAGAAGAAATAATATAAATTAGCCTGTGTAATCACCCCTGAACTCTCTTGCAATTATAGAAGTAATTTCAAGTTAAATAAGAAACGAGACAAATGACTAACATTCTTCTAGCAGATTGGTTTAAATATATTAGAAGAAGAATTACACACTAAACGGAACTTCACAGGGACATAATATTACTTTTTAACCCTGAAAATTTGTTTATTTTCTTACTGAATGATCGTTCAGTAAAATCGTTCGTTTAATAAAATTGTTCATTCAGTAAAAAAACTATAGTTTTCAAAAAATTTGTTGAAAAAAATCTTTTGTCTAGTAAAAAACGATAGTTTTTTCAAAATCTGTTGCAAATTTGTTCGTTAAGTAAGAAAAGGAATGAAACCGTTCAAAAACGATCATGCGAGATCGTTCAAATGATTTAAATAAAAATTCGATTTGTTTTCTTTAGTTTTTTTTTCATTTCTTTGAATGATCCAATTTGTTTGTTCATCGTTTTTTTCTGTACAACACCATCGTTCACATTTTCGTTCGTTCTCGACAAAAATGTCGTTTTATTTCTACCCTGATGTATGTTATATATGTCTTTCAATATCTATATTAATATGTATATTTAAATATTCTAAAATATGTAATAACAAGAACATGAAAGTCTTTTATTCGTATTTGCTACAGTAATATATTCCTGAAATCTAAGAACACAATCCCTACAGTGTTTAAACAACCTTATTTACATAATCCTAGATTTAAAACCATCTTGCATACATAAATATACAAGATTCAAACCCGTCTTGGTTCATATATACAAGATTTACACCCATCTTGGATCATATATACAGGATTTAAACCCTTCTTAGTTCATATACAAGATTTAAACCCGTCTTGGTTCATATATACAAGATTCAAACCCATCTTGGTTCATATATACAAGATTTAAACCCGTCTTGGTTCATATATACAAGATTTAAACCCGTCTTGGTTCATATACATAAAGATTTAAACCCGTCTTTGCTCGATCATATATACATATAAATGCAAGAAAATTAAGAAAATTGGTGAATCATACATTTGACATGAAACTGATCATAAAAAGATCATGCATAAAAAATGGTTGCATTGCAGTATGTTGAAGATGGTATGCAGTATGCACTTAACAGCAGTCATGGATTAATAACAATACTAATAGAACACTAAATGTTGTCTTTTCAAAATTTAGGGGCGTTTCGTTCACAATAACCCTGAGACAAAAGCCCAAAAGAGTTACCCGCATGCCGCGTTGAATTACAACACAGAGAGAGAGAATGCGGGTAACTCCTTTGGGATTCTGCCTCAGGGTTATTGTAAACGATCTTGAAAAGACGACATATAGTGTTCTATCTGTATTGTTATTGATCTATGACTGCAGTAAACTGGATTCAACCTCTATATAGTATACTGGATTCTACAAAGGGAAGTTTAACGATGAAAAATGAACATAAAACTTTAACATCGTACAAGGAAGAGAATACGGAATATATTCCTGAATACATGGAATATAATACATTGGAGAGGTCGCTGAACTATTACCTTCAGTTCAAGTGTTCTTTGACTTAAATCCTGAATTACGGGATTCAAAGTTTAATTGAAAGACTATTAAAAAACTGCAAATTATTTTCTCATATAATTCTAACATTTTTTCGTACAAATTTTATTTCCCTCGCAAACTGTTTTCGCGAAATTCGAAATTTCGTTTTTTTTGAGGGATTTTCGCCTTTTTTTGGCGAAATTTTCGCTTATTTTTGCTAATTTTCGCGACACGATTTCCTGATGTTGCTGGAAACCCTCCTTGTAATTCAATAAACCGATGCCACGATATAAATAATATCAAATCAGACGTTTAGGGATGCCCTACTGTCAACCCCTCCAAAACTTGAAGTGAAATTACTATCTAAGAATAATTAAAAAATTACGGAATATTATGGAATTCCAGAAAACAGGAAATTAATGGAAGAATATGTTATATATTCCTGAAAACTCGAAATGGATAAAAGAATACGATGTATATTCCTGAAAACAGAAAATGGATAAAAGAATACGGAATATATTTCTAACTACAGGAAATGAATAAAAGTATCTGGAATTTATTCCTGTGAACAGGAAATGGATAAAATAATACGGAATATATTCCTGAAGTATCTGTTTATTAATGGTCTCTTCTGTTTGAATGCCTGGCTCCTGTTTCTCATCTGTTTCAAGGATATCATCCAACCTGTTCCCTACAGCCTAGAATAAAACATTGCATAAAAAAATTAACCATTTTAAGTGTCCTTCGTCCCAGAAACTTCAGTACATATTTTCTTCTGAAAGTTGCCATAAACGACAATTTAAAAGGGAGTGTTTGCGAAAAATGAATGGGGGTATAGGCTGATATTGAATTGTATTCTATGAGGCTTGTTACTAATTTTGCTTCTTTCAGTTAAATCTATTAGGAGAACATGGTTAATAACGTCTTACACCCAAGAATGTAGCGTCCATATATATTTACAGAGTTGCATTCTTCCACTCAGATTGTTTATAATTCAATTAAATTTTAAACTACTCATTAAGAAATTACAACCTACACTTGTTGAATTCAGTTCTATGCATATGTATTTAAGTAAACACTTCATAAACATGTTATTTTATAAGATCTGAGTGTTACTTTTGAAAATATTCATTTTGCCATTAATGATAATGCTAAAGAAGAATACCTCTCCCCATTGATGAAACAGTTTTCCTGCTTGGATTTGAATTCTTGCGCCTTTAGGAGTTGTTCCTAAAAAAATTCTTTTTATTTTCTATTTTCAGTAAATTTTCACAGTATAGTATTTGTAAAGTATCATATATCATCAGTTTTTTATCAGTATAGTATCCATATAAATATATCAGTATATTATCAGTTTAGTACTCGTAAATATCAGAACATTATCAGTATATCAAAAATATGTTATAGGAGCTGAGAGCTCTTGTATTGTAGATAACTAGATTAATGTTTGATCTCAATCTTTTGATATTCGATATCCACAGTGTAATTGTAATCTATAGAAATAACTGAAATGAAGAGGTTAAGCGTTGATCATAAAATTAAAAGCACCCTTTGTAGATATGCGGATCAAACAGTTGGGATTATTAGTAGCCAAAACAAAAGTTCCAAGCTCAAAAGGAAAGAAAAAATTTTGAAATTTTTTTGAATTTATATTAAAATCAACCATTTAAGTAAGTATTCCAAATTTGAATTGCTTAAATGGTTAATAGTTTACCCTGCTCTTCATCCTTTATGTACAACCCCCTCCCTCCCCTCCCCTCCAACGTCTATCCACTACGCACTGGATACTTTATTACTCCTCCTCCTATAAACTAGGTGTACTGGATACTATATATTCCTCCTCCTCCTATCCACTAAGTGTACTGGATACTATATATTCCTCCTCCTCCTATCCACTACGCACTGGATACTATATTACTCCTCCTCCTATAAACTAGGTGTACTGGATACTATATATTCCTCCTCCTCCTATCCACTAAGTGTACAGGGTTATATTTAAGTTTTCTATAATCCTACACTAGGGACCAATCCAATCATTGTCTACTTCACTGCATACATAATATTAGGTTTAAAATGAACTGCATGAAAAAAGTCTTATTTTTATTGGCCTGGATTAACTTTTTCTATAATTTCTCCTAGCTTTTTGAAGAATTACTCATGTATTGGTCTGGTTCTAACTTGGGTTGTCTTCGTAAGCTGCCCTGTACTTGGCTCTCAGAAGATGACAAGGAAAACTCACAGCCTACGCGTGGGGTTCCTTAACTATGAGGATACCCTTCCTCCTCAGACTTGACTTTAACATTTCTACAACTTTAGCATGACATTTAATTAAGAAACTAGACCTGACATATTTGGAATATATTGTTTGAAATAGCTACTTGCCAGTACAAAACAACAGTGATTCCTGGAATGAGTCTGTTTCTCTAGATTTCCTTAATGAGTTAAGGAAAGCAATGCATCTTACTTGAACCTCAATTACAAAGTCCTGACCTGATATCTTATAATCACTAAATGTAAACCAAGTGTTCATTCTGTGTGAATTACAACATTGAAAATAGTCCTTCTCCAAAGCCTCATTCTCCCTGGCTTATTTATAGTCTGAATGCATTGTTTCCTGAAAATCTTATAAATCATTTTTGAGGTATTAGACTCTGCACTTACTCAAAGACATAATTAAACACCAGGTTCTTTTTTTTTGCAGTAGCATGAACTTTTCTCTTTTTAGTATTGGAATGATGGTTGCTAACCATGGAACAACCACATTGACACCCTGGACAATTAGATAAAGTATTGAGGTTGGAACATCTTTAGGATTATGACACCATATTCTATCTGATGTGATTTAGCTCCCTTTCCCAACAGTTTAAAACATGAAGTATGATTTCTTGGTGTTTATAACTTTTTCTGGGGGATTAAAAAGGATATTTCTATCTTTGACAGTTTGTCATTGCATTGAGTGAATCACAAATGTGATTATGTTTGGGTGAACTTGCATTTGAATATGGACATGCTTATAAGGCTCTCTGTCTCTAGTCTCTATATCTATTTTGGGCACCAATTCACTGTCAATTTTAATTAATTGAGTGGTCTCAACAATCAATTTCTTTTTCTTGTATTCCAGATAACTGAAAGTTTTACTTTTCATGGCATTTATTTTTAATCCACCCTTCTATATCGCAATTTCTACACAAAACATTTAAAATTATATTCTTATGAGAATTTTAATCATAATATAATATGTATTATGATCTTGATTTATCTGTAATAAATCTTACTGACTTAAAGAATGACATACCCATCCCAATTAAAAGCTTTGGCCACATCTATGAATATAATATTGAGACCTTATCTTTTGGTTTCAGCATTGAAAATCACTTCCCGTTCAAATCTTCATGCTAAGATTCCATAATATAGTCTTAACAACATGCTCCAACCGAATGAGGCTCACTGGAAGTATAAGACTCAAAATAGAGTTAATAACCTGGTGACCTTAATATTCTTGATATTATAGCTTAACTCCCCACGATGAATCAGGGCTGTATTATTCTTTAATTATTTCACTGCATGCTGTACCACTTAATTCTGATGTAATGTAACAGGCCATTTGTACCTTCTTGAACTGAAGAAAAGTAACTTTTCCAGCACTTTACCCAAACTTCTTCTCTAATCAAATAGAAAAGTTGAGTTTGTAAATGCCTAATTGAACTGAAGTAAATCAAAACCATGTATTTCCAGAAAATTTTGCCCAGTTTGTGGACAAGCACTTGCAACATATATTTTGTTATTTCTTTGTTATTGCGTTTTTTCTTATTTTCCTCTAGCTATCCCAGTTATTTTTTTATTTGTTATTACAATTTATCTCTGTTTATCAGGTGATAAACCTTGAAAGAGAATTTTTGTTATTTGTGTTAAAAAGAAATTCTGATATTGCCTACAAAATGTTTCTTAAACTTTTTTTTCAATAAGTGTTTAAGAAGAAGATTTGTTTAAAGTTTTAGAAATAACACATGTTTAAAAGAGCTCATGGAACTTCATTGCCCTTTAAAGGGCATTATTCCATATCAATTCCATATGGGAAAATTGTCCTGTAATCTGTTTTTGAAATGTACCACCAAGTTTTGTGTATTATCTTAGGGGTAGATTTGTTTAAAAATCAGGTAAAAAAGGTTCTGTCGTTCATTTCCTAAAGATGTTGTTGTTAGTGGTTTATCATACTTAATGGCTTATCGGAAAAGTTCCGTAAGGCCTCTAATGGTCCAAATGTATCCTGAAAAGTTGGAAACCCTACTCATCTACATTCATGTCTGGGAATAAATCTTCCATTTAACTCCTTGTATTGGAAAAAATTCCCATCTAGTCTATACCATGCCTGGGAATAATCCTCCATCTACCTCCATGTATGGAAATAAATCCTCCATTTACCTCCTTGTATTGGAATAAATCCACAGGACGGGTAATATAGAACCCGCACTCACACAGACCGCCCTGCCTGAGTGGCTCTAAAGGGAATTACTAACCATGCAGCTGCATTTAGGTGTATATTACTGAGTAATCAATCAATCGACCTGTAGAGTTTGAGGTCATTATATATGTTGTAGACATTATTGTCTGCACAAAAACTCTCCACAGTGGTTTCAGTGGTTCCGGGGAGAGAGCACGGCTAGAAATAAGTCTAAGATTTTGGAATACAAATATTTTCTTTCTTTCGGCCCATTGTGTATTTTTAGATAAATGTTGCAACATTGAGAAATTTCAAATGACACATACCAGCTTGTCAGACGCCAGTACATGTCAGTGCTGATTCTATGCCAACTGTTCTTTAAATAAATCCCAATCTATCCCATTTAAAGGAATACATTTTCCATCTGCCTCCTTAAATTGGAATAAATCCCCATCCCATTTAAGGGAATACACCCCCCACCTACCTTCTTGTATTGGAATAAATCCCCATCTATTCCATATAAAGGAATAAATCCCCCATCTAGTTAGTTGATCTTTCCCTGTGTAGAAATAAATTCCCCTGCCTGGGGGTGAAAACTGAAACCATGTTTGAAATAAATTGATGAAAATATTGAGAAAATGAGTTTATACTAGATCCTGCTCTGATTTTAAATAGAATCATTTATTTTCTTTTTATCAATCTGTTAAATTCTAAAAGTCTAGAGTAAAGTGAACGGAACTAGGATTTACAGTGGAAATAAAAGAACTGATTTTCTTGTTTAAAATGGGGGCTAAGAAATCAAACGAGTTACTTATTTCAAGAAAAGATCTAGTTTTATGTCAATTGACTTTCTAAACAAGTTTTAAAAAATCATCAGAACATTCTATTAATGAATGCATGGTATATAGTTCAGTTAGAAACTAATATTAAAATCTTTAATTAAAATTAAGTTAACAGGCAATTGGTTAATTTGATTAGTCCCCCCCCCTCACTAAACTAAAAAATATAAAGGAATTGAGTCTTTGAGTCTTTGCAACAAATCCCATTTTTCTAATACCTATATATCTACAACCAAATTATGTAAAACTTAGATACTTCAAACTTTGATTGTTTGATATAACAGAAGTCATAGTTTGAAATATCTAAGGTCTACCACATTGGGTTGTTAAGATATAGGGATTCAAAAACCAGAGTTTGTGGCAAAGACTCAATTCCTTTGTCCTCTTATAAGATGGTAATGCAGAAAGAGAGGAGAACAAATTGATTTTAAAGATTAAAGATTCAAAAATCATTTTATGTATTTATTGCAGAAAAAGGTATTTTTAGGAAAAATCAGGAGCGCAAGAAAAGAGAGCCAGCTAATTCTAGTCCTTAATTTTTTTATTTTCTTTTATTTTGTAACTTAAAGAGTTTTTATTAGTTTAAATCAAGGTTAAGGTTACATAATCTGGATGCTCTCCAATGCATGAAAAATGTTGTCTCCAAAAGAGAGGGGGGTGGGCATTATTAGTAGGATAGCCAAATATCTGCTATTTATAATATTTAGTTTGAAGGAACATTCGTCAATAGATCAGACATTCGTGTTCTTTCATAATCTTGATTTCATTATTTCATTTTTTTCCGTCCATCGGAGCGCATCCAGAGTATCTAACATTATATACTCTTTAACCTTGGTTTAAATATAGACGGATAGGCTTTTTAAAAAAAACCAGCTGCTCATGGTATTGACATAAAATTGACCAAACTCCATGAAATAATTCAATTAAACCTCCCCCCCTCCTCCCTCTGGGTATATTGTAACTAACAGGAACTCCTAATAAAGTGTACTGCAGTTTCTGGAAGGAATGAAACAGATGTACGTTGTTTACATTCCTCCCAGTAACTGCAGTACACATTTTTTGTTTTTCTATGTTGCGAAATATTTTAATTTTCTTACCTCCAATGGTAAACTGGTTTCTACAGCGCTCATTCCTGCTTCCAAGCTGCTGTTTTATCCATATAGGCCAGTTTCCTCTAAACAAATAATTAAATGCTTTCTAAAAATAGCTGCATAATAAGCCATAAATTTGTTATTGACTAAGAACATATGTGATAACCAGTGTTCTAAGTGTTTAATAATTTTATACTTTTTCTTAAAACTCTTTCAACTTTCGCTACACAGTGTTGATTCAAAGGTTGCATGCTCTCACTCAAAAATCTATCGGTATTTTGCCAATTACTTTTCTTGAGCTGAAGATCGAAACAGAGCTGCAAAGTTTTAAAATGTACATGTATAGTACTATACGAAATGTAAAGTTAAGGTAGTGAGAACAAATTAGGGCCTAGCCTTGAAAAGTGATGCAACATTTTATAGCAGCCTGGATCTCACTGGTTGGGCTAAATACATGACACCCAAAACCCGGTTTCAGTCTAGTTTCCTCTAAACAAATAATTAAATGTTTTCTAAAAATAGCTGCATAATAAGCCATAAACATTTTATAGCAGTCTGGATCTCACTGGTTGGGCTAAATACATGACACCCAAACCCCGGTTTCAGTCTCTGATATACCCACTATATTTCCGTCTCCGCACACTCTGACAAGTTGTTCTAATCTGTAGACCAGAGAATCTAGGATCTCGTGAAAACAGGTTCAAACTTTCATGTTTCTCCGAACCCAGGAAATATAGGATTTATCATGTTTCTTTTATCTGATTTATTGGTTCCTTCTCCAATATAAATCACGCTTATATTAATCAATGAAGAACGGGGTCAAGAACATAAAATACCCCCCCTTCCATACATTCAAGAGAGTAATAATTTTACTTGAAATTACGTCTAAAGCCTCTTCAAATGATGAAGATAGAATAAATATTTAAATAGAAATATGCTCATTTGCATAAAATCTAAATTTACAAACAGAAAAACTAATAAAAAAAGAGAAAAATGGCGCAAACTAACACTGACCTATTTCATTCAAACTAAATTTTTAACACTTACTTAATAAATTCTTGTCGTTCTCTGTATGAAATAAATGTTTACACTTACCTATTACATGCATGTACTTTATGTCATATGTGTATAATGTACATAACACCATATATAATACATTCATTTTCTGTACAAAATTAATTGTAATTAATGTAACACTTACCTATTTCATACATACACTGTACTAATGAATGTATATAATTTATAACACTTATCTATTACATACATGTACTGTATGCAATATGTAATATGTAATATGTAATATGTATGTACTGTAGGGGCGTAAATAAGGATTCTGCAGGGGGAAGGTAAAATTTTTGAGTTCCCCCCCCCCCTAGAAAAATATCATGATGAATATTAAATTATTGGTTTTAATTGGGCAATTGGGTTTGATTTGCATTTTCCACTAATTTCTGGGATTTACAAACTCAATCTAATAAAGGCTTCATTACATACCTTTCAGCTTTCACCTTGTTTTATATCCTTCATTATAGTCATTCATTTTACATTAAATACAAAGATTTTTAAAAAAAACTGAATTTATTTTAGATAGGATAAAAAAATAATAGTTTTACTCTAAGAAGAAAAAGATGTTGCTTTTTAAATCTTTAGAAAAGCTACTCTGCAAAATTTTGAAGAAATATTGTCTTTGTTTATATTCTTATTTCTAATTGCTAAATTTTCTTGTCGTCAATGTAGTATGTTAAAATCTTTAAAAAATCTAATATGGAAATGACATTATTTATAAGTAAAAAAAGTATTTTTCATTGCCCATACCCTTTTTTTTATAAAAAAACATCTAATTGTAATGACATTGACTATTACTTTAGAATTTAGAATCATTTAGAATATGTTGACTTAAAATCTGAAATATCTGAAGTTTCTGCACATTTAAATCATTTTCGTGCAAATTTAAAAGATATTTAATTTTAAAATCAAATCCTTAAATTCATGGGGGGGGGTATTTACCCCAGGATTCTAGGGGGGGTAAATAACCTCAATAACCCCCCTTATTTACGCCACTGTCAGTACACCACTTACAATTATCACATTCATGTACTGTATTTAATATATATTTATATGCAATAATGCACTTGTACCTATTTCAAATATATGTGCTGAATGTAATGTGTGAATAATGTACAATGTTTATAACGCTTACCTATTACATTCATGTACTGTGTGTGCCAAATGTATAAGAACACAAGCGCGGGACAAAATTGCGGATTTTGGCTGAAATAAAAAAATGTTAGATCACAGAAAGAGGAACATTGCATGTATATTAAATGTAGAAGGGTGATAGGATGTTTGTACTTCTTATTGTGACATATTCGAACTTCACAGGAACTGGTTTAAGGTAAATTTATAGTAAACAACTACTCCATAACAAGTTCTCCAAACGTATCTATCCATACACAACCCGTCCACTATCAGAGTCAACCAGGACACAAACCACCTGGCTCTTAATGCCACAAAGGGACACAAGCATAGCTATCCAACAAGCTATTAGTCCAGGCTCTAAATGCCAAACAGGGACACAAGCGTAGCTAACCAACAAGCTATTAGTTCAGTGCTCTAAATGCCACACCGGAATACAAGCCTAGCTATCCAATAAGCTATATATTAATCCCAAATGATGGGGACGATCCTACCTGTTTATGAAAACAGGGTTTTAGGTTTAGTCTGTTGCAGTAAACAGTACGAAGTTAATCTATAACTAACTTTATTTTTATCAAATGTGTCTCTTCCTTTAGTTTGCCTAACTTGAAAAGAACAAATGTTTGATCTTTTTTCCAATAATTTGAAAACTGTTCTAAACAAATAAACCTCTTGTCGACCAATAGATGAATTTTCAAAATAGCGGTACAAAGTTTTTTTTTAAATTTGTGTATAAACTGTATATTAATCTATATATGTACAGATTCAGTCCTCCAGGTATACATGTAACATAACTATATATATATATATACATAAATAAATATATGAAAAACCTTGTTACTCTCTATACATTACCAGAAAACCATTATACATTAATATAAATACAAACAATTATTAGAAACCCAGTAACACAAATATGCAAAGTCAAATAGGAAAATCTATATTTCTGTATTATTACAGTATTTCAAACTGTTTGAACATAAAAAGATTTTTAAAACAGAGTTTCATTTAAATTTTATGGTCTGGCACCATACCAATCTTCACTGTTTCAAATAATACTATCTTATTGGTTTGAAATATTAATTGACTAAAACCGTGAACCTAAAGATTATGGACTAACAAATTCCTAATTAAGGGAAACCACGGTGGATGATGAAAAATAAATGTTAATCAAATTCAATTTAATCTTTCATTGGCATAATTAAAATATGAGTATGCTTGTAGTCCGTGAAGTCGGATGGATAAGTTAAACAAAAGTTTTAAGAAAAAATCATTTAGATAAAATGTGATCAAAATAAACTAAAATAAAGAAAATAACGATAGAGCAATAGAATTAACAAAACTGGGAAAAATTTTTATCGAAAAAAGAAAATTTATTTTATTTAAAACCATGAGATAACCACACATTTAAAAAGTGAATTGTTAAGTTTTTTTTTCATTGAAAAAAGAATAAAAAAAATAAAAAAATTTAAAGCTGACCAAATCAAGGATAGAGCCCACTAGTAGAGGATCAGGAGAGAGTCCAGGAAATGTATTTTCCAGGATAAATACTAGTCGAGATAACCCTCTGCATACAGATATATATTCGATATATATTCATCAATTATACAGTAGGGACCAGAAAACTATGGAATAATTATTGTATTTTTTTTATAAAAAGTGGCCTTACGATTTGTATTTTGAAATTCTCATAAAAATTAAAATATACAATATACATATTCAGCCATTTTTTAAATAAATTTGTGTCATAAAAATTAAAATATACATATTCAGCCATCATTAAAAATGAAACATCCTATGCGATTTTTTCTCCGGCTAATTTTTGTATGTTGCGGTTAAAAATTGTACCAAAACTATTTCATAAAGAACTATTTCAAAATGATTTTCTAAGACTTATTTATTTATCAGAAATCAATTTAAACTGAATGTATAATGGATCCCATTCTTGAGAAAACACGTAATTCCCGTTTTGTTTCAAAGTATCAAAAATGTTTTATTTCTATTCGGGAAATAAAATTTGTTTTATTTCCCGAATAAAAGTCTAAACTGAAACCTCAGGTTTATTCATAGCTTCCTTTATAACCTTCAATATATTTAATATACGTCAGAACAAGTCAACGGGAGAAAAATTTTTTAAAATTTTTTTAAAGATCAACAAAATAGCAAATGAATGCACTGTGATGGTAAACATCTGGTACAAGCTTTATGTTTTACGTTTGTACGATATATTTTTGTCCTTTTGGGACTGTACTGTACTGTACTGTACTGTACTGTACTGTACTGTACTGTACTGTACTGTACTGTACTGTACTGTACTGTACTGTACTGTACTATACTGTACTGTACTGCACTTTACTGTACTGTACTGCACTGTAATGCATGTATGTTTGTAGTAATGATATATAAGTGTATTCCTAAGTAATGGTATCTCAGGAACAAGCCGTCTCTCCTTTATGCAAATTAGATCTTGGTCCTAAACAGTAAAATTAGATCTTGGTCCTAAACAGTAAAATTAGATCTTGGTCCTAACAGTAAAATTAGATCTCGGTCCTAAACAGTAAACTTATATCTTATGGTCCTAAACAGTAAAATTAGATCTTGGCCCTAAACATTAAAATTATATTTTGTCCCTAAACAGTAAAAAGTAAATGGTCGGGTCGGGTCGGAGCCCCCACGTCAAATTATTCACGCTAGATTTCAATCATAACTCCTCTTTCTGAAAAGCCATTTAGAATATCAAAAAAGAGGTCACAAAGTTGAAGTAAGTTCGATAAAATTTGATCTTTTCCTTTTGAAGTAATTTTCAGGAATATCATAAATTTCTTGAGTCTTCAAGAAGAATTTCTATTTGTTGCAAAATATTTGCAATTGAAAACGGGGAATGCAGATTGCAGACTTTCTGCAAAATAAATATTACAAACATTGAAACGGATGAGAAACGTAAAAAAAAAGANTTTAATTAGGATCCTTGGCTTCAAGTTTATCAATCCTTTAATATTGTTTAATTTATAATTCACCAAAACCATACTGCAGTCCTTCAATTATCATACAGGGAAATTTTCATCTTTCTAAACATCCCAACGAATGATTTGACAGGTTCTTTTAGTCGGAAAACTGGTCTTTCAAGATTTAAATACAATAACACTCATAACACTGTGGAATGTGGAATAGAGAGACGACATAGCAATTTTGTACAATTTTCAAGACCCATTGCACTTTATAAGTTCAATTTTAAGCTAAAAAAAACTATCGTATCTATAACCGCATCAAATACACTTAATTGTCGTCATGATATTTCACGGTGTTGTTGGTCCTATCCGTATGTATATACGTTAACTTAACGTAAACAGAACACGCTCGTCACTATCTCTTCTGAATCATATATCCTTGCAACCTAATGGTGTAAACCTTCGGTACTTCAAACAAACTATTTGACTTCACATAATTGACAGTATGAAAATTACAGGTCTGCAGCATCAGGTCCCAAAAATATAGGGTTAGAAGTTTAAAATTATAGTTGCGAATTGTTTAATTCCTTTGCATTCATTTCAGATCAAAAACTAAAATAATTGCTGAATGGGAGTTTTATAATTGCTGAATGGGGGTTTTGTAGACCGTTGTTATTTCAAACTATTAATGCAACGACATTGAGTTGTTAAGATATAGGGATTCCACAATCATAGTTTGTGGCAATGACTAAATTCCCTTTATGTTTTCTGACAATTAGTATATTTCTATTTTAGTATTTATTCTATAATTCATTAATTGAAGGGTCAGGACGTAATTTCAGGTCACCTATAAAATTTAGCGACATTTCCGGTTCTCCGGAAATATAAAAAGATAGCCTTTTTTAAGTAAAACATGTTAACATCTGAAATTCATTTTCACAGATATCCCACAATTTAAAATAATAATAATAGTAATTTATTTTNGGGGTATTATTGTTACACTATACCCTACCTTCTGAAAATGATCATATCCTATGGATGTATTTAGACTAAGCTCTTCCGCATTATCAAACTCAAATTCCTTCCTCCTAGATTTGATCCCGATCTTGTCCGCGAATGTTTTTCTGATTGCTCGGCTATTCTTGGATTGGTTCTTGCTCAGCTTGTTGTTCTTGGCCTGATGGAAGGACTGTTTTCTAAATTTTAAAATTCTTAGAAAAGTTTTAAGAAACTAGAATTTTTCTTCAACTTTTAATCTCTATCTGTGAGCTGAGCATCTTCTCTTTGTACAATATAAAACAAAAAAAAGTTGAGGATTTAATCATATTTGTTGCACAATTTGAAAATTTTACAAAGATCAAAAAGTTTTGGACACCATTTTTGTAATTTTTAGCATCCGAAAACATTTCCTGGGGTCATGTGAGGTCCTACACGAAATTTGGGCCCACTTGGCTCAGCCGTTTTGACGTTTATTGGATACAAACGGACAGTCAGACAGACAGACCAGCAAAGTATATATGTAGATTGCAGATAGGAGATAGTAACAAACGGTGAGATAATTTCAAATGTTCAAAAAGATGTTTGATCTTTCGAATAAGCAAAGTTCGCTGAATAAAATATATTTTTACTTTTGAAAGGAAAAAATGATTCAATTTTTACTGTAAAAAAAAGATCAACCATAATTGGCAAAATAATTTAAATCTACAATTATTCTATGTTCTTTCTTTGCATAAATTTAGAGGTTAAACGAATATTTGATATTGTTTAAAAGAAAAAATGTCCGTTATATAAATAGTATACAATACAAATATAGTATATGTGTAAGATAACATAATCAGATGTATAATATTGTATATGACTTAGTGTATGAGGAATTTTAAATAAATAAAATTTTGAGGTTGACAATATGTGTAGATTTATGAAGACATGCGTAGATGTATACGAGATATAAATAAAAATATGGAGATGTATAGGAGATATATATATATGTAGAAATATGTAGATATATAGGAGATATATATGTAGAAATATGTAGAATAACCTTGAGACCAAATTGTTCTGTGAATCTCCAGGGGATCCGCAATCCTTTAAACTTCTCTCCCCTCCCTTCCCAGTAATCCAGTTCAAAGCTAAACAATTACCAGATAAAAGGAGAAATTATTATTAGATTGATAACCTGACGGGGCATTTGCGCAATTTTTCGCGGATTTTTTAAATTTAGAAATTGCTGCAAAAATTCTCAGTTAGAGATATTCCTGAAAATAAGTATCCACATATAAACCAATGGTTAACTTAATTTTATTGCGAAAAAACGTTAACATTTTTTTAGAAAAGAAAGCTTTGGTTTGTTTTGCATAGAATATTTATGCCATTAACCAAAAACCACTTATAAATAAATTTTTACACAAAATTCAAAGTAAAAGTGTAACGTGTCTAGTGTATAATGTCTAGTTCCGAATGTCTAATGCCTATTGTATACTGTTAATGACAAAAGTATAATCTCTAATGGCTAATTTCTAATGTCTAATGGCTAATGGCTAATGCATAGTGTATAACGTCTAACGCCCAATGTATAATGTCAAGGTAAATGTCTTGTGACTAGCGTGTGATGTCCCATTTAGTGTGTATTGTCTACAATGTCTAGTGTTTCATATCTCATGTCAGTGTCTAATATGTCTACCTGTTTGAATAGTAGATGTTTTCCTTTGAACTGACTCGGCTTCCCCCCGAAGGGTTCCAACTCTCTTATGACCTGCCTCACTAGGACTTCGGGTAGCAGGGCTTTCAGTCTCATTCTTACAAACAAAATATGATTTTTTTTAACTTTTTTACCCCCTGCATCTTTAATTGAGTTGAACATAAACATAGATTTATTAACAATTAACTCAAAATAAAAAGTTTCCCTAATATTTATTGATCTGCAGTATATAAAGTCATAAATCAAATCATTTCTACTCAAACTACATTAACCTAACCTTAATTTTATCAATTTCAACAAAAACTAATTTTCAACCAAAAACAAGTTGACCGGGAGGGAGATTCTGGCAGCATTTAATTAAATGCATAATACATTTGTTTGGCAATTAGCTGACATACCCCACCGGTCCGATTCCTTGTGGCTCACATTTGGTCGTGTGTCCGACGTTAGGCTTAAATTATGTCAGACTGAAAAGCCTTGACCTAGAAGGGATTGTGACGGCATACACCCCAATAGGTCAAGGAGCTATTGGACACCTCCATAGTTTCATGAAATGAAACTAAAGATGAATATGAAGAATTATGGCTTTACAGAAGATCGTATAGACAATTCGAAGTTTAATTTTTTTTGTAATTTATTTCATCTTGTAAGTTTTAAATGTTAATAACTACAATTTTCAAAGAACTATGAGTTCCATGAATCAAAAAAACCAATAGATAAATTGTGTACAACCGTACATATATATCTTATTTTTTTTGGGATCCCCTGTATGAATAAATGTTATACGTTATACGTGGCCGTAACTGAAAGTTTTGTAGGAAGGGGGGGGGGGGGGGGCACAAAGTGTAAAAAAAGATTCAAAACCCTTTTACACAGTTGAACTTGATCTTACAAGGGGAACATTTTCCCATAGCCCCTCCCCCCTCTCAGTTACGGCCCAGGTTATAATCAATAACTAATGTTAATGTTTAGATACTATTACACGTTATACAATCTAATAAACAGTAAACAAACAAGAGAGAAAAATAAACATGAGTAAGCCTGCAGATAGAAAACCTTTAAATGTACTTTAACTCTCTCTATATATATTATGGGTTTCCACCGTAATTCCGGGTTACGCTTTACGTACGGAAATGATCGGGAAATTTTTTCCATTTCCATTTTGGAAAATTTCGGAACGATTATTCCGGAATTACGGAACTTCCCGGAATATTGTTCCGAAAAATTCCGGTTTACGAAAAAATCGTTTCGGAATTTTCCGGGAAAAGGTTCCGGAAAAACGCTTCTGGTTTACAAAATGGAAACCGTAAACATTCTGGTTTTCATTTGATCCGAAATTATTCCGGAATTCCGGTTTACGCAACAAATTTCCGGATCATTCCATTTCCAAAACGGAAATTGTGATCCGAAAAAATGGAAACCCTATTGAATACTCAACAGAAAGATAAATTCAAGAATTAAAAAATCCAAATTAAAGTTAGGTCGAAGTCCAATTACTAAAAAGGGCCGACCGTTGCAATCAGAGCAGAAAGGAAAAGTGGCAACAAATAAATTTAGTTGTGCTTCAAAAACTTAAATTTGGTGTCACTCCTTGAACTGTACAGAAGCCATTAAAATAATTACAACTTCTTAAAATTGAACAATTGGTTGTCAATTCCAACCTGCAACAACGCGTATTTAATCCCACCCCCCTCCCCCTGCACAAACCAACCCGTCTTTCTTTATTGAGATATCTTTAGTATACTTGTTGACAAAAACAAGAATCTTTTCTTGTAATAACCGGAAGTAAGCTCACCAAGTAACCGGAAGTTCTTTGGTTCTTCCTGAAGAATGATTTTCTCCTTGGGGTTTTATACAGATCATCCTCTACTGTATACAGGGTGGAGGGAGAACCCCGGGAATCAGGATGGTCTCCCCTAAAAATAATTAGAATATTTTAAATACTTCATGATTAAATTAATATAAATATCTTCTTTTGTATTATTTGCTTTTATTTGCCCGTTTTATAATAAGTTAGAAAATACAAATTTCTATTTTAGCACATGTTTCCAATCTGCCCCAAAGTTTTTTAAATAGTGCTTTTCGACTAATAGCACTAATCTAAATGCTTCATTCTGAAGCTCTAAAGAAACTCTTTGTTTAGTCCAAAAATAGTGCTTTTTTACACGACCAATTTGACAAAGTTTGGCCAAAGAAAAGATTAAGTAAATCTGAAGGTGATTATAGAATAGGTAGTAGTTCAACTAATATCACCATAATTGGGGGCTTTTAAATGGATGGAAATAGTTAACCCTATTCTCTAGCTATGCTTGCCCCCTGCAACATTTTATAACACATTTTATATATTTAAAAGTTCCCAGCTCTGTATGATGAATGTTTGACCCATTTTGTGATAAACCAAATGTCAAATCAAATCAGTTTATTTTTTAAAATGAAAAATTAGGCATCAAAAGGCAGGATTTTCTAATAATTTTTCATAGTTTTTACCCAAAAATTTAGAAACCCTAAAAGGCTAAAATTCTTTATTTTTCCCAATACAGCGAATAAAAACCTAAAAAAATTCTTAAAAAGAAAAAATATTCTTCGGGGGGGGGGGGGAAGTTTTAAGAAAATATACACCCCTGAACAAATTATGCATAAAACTTTCCAAAACATTGTTCATTATAATTTTATTTTTATTCTTTGAACTTGAAGTTATAGAACACCTTATCTTTTTCTCCCCAGTCATTGTAGATTTCAAAACAAAACAAAAACTAATTTTTCGCAACAATTTCTTGGCAAAATTAAATTTGATCCTGGATTGATACAGGGTTACCCACAAAGAATGAGACCTTCATGACAGGCTATTTCTTTTGAATAATTTGTTGCAATATAGACAATGCAGGCAATAATTACGAGAAAGAAACGATCTGCAGGCTGCAAGGAAGTATGAATGTAAGAATTAGGACTGAATGAATTCCCTACACTGTCTCTAAAATCCCATATTTTGCTGGTAACCTTGTGTATGTGATTGGTTTACCTTGAAAACTGTTTAGAATGAACTTGTGTTTGCTCTGAGACGGGGAGGGACTCAATTACTCCGCCCAGTAGTACTCGCCTGTACAGTGTATATAATCATAATATATATTTATGTACACCAGTATTACTCGCCTGTAGAGTGTATAAAATCATAATATATATTTATGTACACCAGTATTACTCGCCTGTACAGTGTATATAATCATAATATATATTTATGTACACCAGTATTTCTTTCCTTAAAAGGTTCATGAACATAATTAATAGTTATATACGAATACAATCAAAAATTAAAACACCCTGTATTATTGTGTTTTTTACTCCCTGTACTTTTTGTGATTATTTATGTATGTACATAAAGATATTTATTACAAAGAAGTGATTAATTTTACTATAATCCAGCGAATATATTCTATATTAACAGAGTTAGGCTGGATGCGGGTTAAATACCTTCTCGGAGAGGGGGAGTGGGGGGGGGAGAAGGGTGTAAGGGAAAATAGAATAAGAAAAAATTAGTATTATTGTATCCCTAGTTAATTGCACAAATTCCATGGAAATTCAGAGAAATAATGCTATGGTGTTTCTCAAACCAATTGCATTACTGATAGAAAGATCCCCGTCAAAAATACGCAATTGTGATCTAAACCATAAGGTCAAACATCGTCTTTGTATACCAATTTTATATTGGGGATCCCTGTATTACCTGAACACTCCTGCATGGTTCTGTTTAACGAAAAGAATAAATTGACGGATTTCTTGATGGAGAATAATGTTGTCTGGTTTACAGATCATCTAGAAGTTAAAGATTATAAATATAAAGTTATTACTTTGTTGTGTGAATTTTCGTGACGATCTTTATTTTTCAATTGAACTTTTCTCCAAATTATTACAAGCAAACGTCAAAGGAATTGAGTCTTTGCAACAAGTAGTTGCATATACGATAAACAACGTACTTGTTAAATCTCTATCTGATAAACAACGTACTTGTTAAATCTCTATCTGAAAAACAACGTACCCGTTAAATCTCTATCTGATAAACAATGATGAAAGATATTGTCGTTTTTCTATCTTTAAACTTGAAGAATTTCATCTTAATCAGACAAAGGTATAAAGGATACAGTTGTGAATTGAACGTGTCACTCTATGTTGAAATCATATCCAACAGTCCTTTTAATCTAAAATTCTCTTTTCATTTCATTCATATGACATTTTTTCAGCAGGATATTTAGTATAATTAATTATTAAATTAATAACATATTTAAAGAATGTTGTTTAATCAAGGCACCTGATTTTGAAGCATTAGTTTATCTATCATTTTCTTGAACACTGTTGCTAGAATTATATTCTGAACACCCTGGAAATAGATAAATCAGACTGTTGCTAGAATTATATTCTGAACACCCTGGAAATAGATAAATCTATTTTCTATTTGGGAAAATACCCTTGGGAAGTTGCCGCTTGGGAAAATACCCTTTTGGGAAGTACCTGACATCCTTTTCTTACCTGACAAAGGAACTTAGAACTTAAATTCGAATTGACAGCTATAATATTTCAAACTGTAAACTCTATTAGATCAGATAGTCAGATATTTAAATAAAAGAAGTTTATGACGAGAAAACTGCAGCTCGTTTAATACCTTCACTTCTGCAACCTGATAGTATGTAAACTTTAGATATTTTAAATTTTGACTAAATTTTATATAGCAGAATTTACAGCTTGAAATATTAAAGGTCAGAAATATTGGGAGTGAAAAATTAAAGTTTGAAGAAATTACTTTTGCTTGAAATATCTACATACTTTTGATTTATGTGAAATATGTTTACTCTTGTTGTAAAAATATTCTTACTTTACCATTACTAATGTACAATTGACAAAATTTTAAACACCTAGTTCTTTTCTTAAACCTGTTTTGTTCCCTTGGTATGGTTCTCATTGAAGGGTGCAATAAATCCTGGAGATGGAATATCATCTCTCTTCTTCCAACTTGGTTCTAAACAATTTCAAGGTTAGGCATTTTTGAATACAGTTTTATAGAAAACAAGGATACAATATATTATATATTTATGTATATCTTGGTGAATGAATACATCTTTATATATTGTGTATAAAACTAGCTTTATAACCCAGCCAAGGGTACTCATAGTTACTCTCAAAACCAAGCTAAGAATATTTCCGTGGTTCTCCTGAGTTAACAATCAAAATTTGAAGCAAATCGGTCAAGGGGTTCCTGAGTTTTGATCGGACATATATACAAACAGAGATTAAAACTTTATATATAGATAATAGAGGTGTTCATGGTATAACAACGCCGTTTACTTGCTTTGCTAATGAGAAATGTGTTCTTTTAAACCTTATATTATATAAACAAAAAATTGTTTCATTGTGCATGGAAAATATATTTTATAAATACTGCTTGAGATAAAACAACAGAAATGATTTAATTGCGAGAGTAAAAAGATTATCATGAATGCTGGCATTGTACAATATATACATATACCACATTATTTCAGTAGTTTAGTATATCAGATTTTTGGCGGAGGATGAATTGGCAACATTGCTAGTGAGAAAAGGATTTTATTCGCTTGTTGCTAGGGGAGGGCGCGCGCCCGGCCGCCCCCCCTCTAGTTGCGCCTCTGGCTGTAAAAAGTGGAGAAAATAATTCGCCCCGTTTCCACAGCAACGTTGTCACTTCATCTTCCGTCATATGAGGATTTTGAGTGTCCAGTGCTATGAAGACGACATTAATAGTACATTGGAGGATGCTATATCGTTTGCACTAATGTCCGATTGAACTAACGTACTTTTGCACTAAAGTCAGCTGATCAGTAACACTTGTGGCCGCAGCGCCTGGCCCCCTAGCCTGTCCTAGCCGCGGCGCTCGGCCCCCTAGCCTGTCCTAGCCGCAGCGCTCGGCCCAGAAATTTTCTTAACCTAACCTAAAATCTCAAATAAAACGTTAGTCCGAATAAACGTAAGTTCGAATTTACGTTAGTCCGATCAATCATTAGTGCAAACGATTCGACACCCATGGGAGCGCATCCAGAGTATCTAACTTTAATAAATTCAACCTTGCTCTAGCATCTTGGAGGTGGGTACGGTACTTTAAATAAACCAGAGTTTAAAGTGATACCTAACTAAAGGGTTAAACTTAAAGTTACTCCCTACTCGCATTCTTCAACTTTATTTAAAACTTTCAGAACATTCTTTCAATTAATTTACCTTTCAACAAGTTTTACAAACTAAAAGAGAGAATTTACATTCAAATAAATCTTGTGTTTCCCATATAAACATAGATATTTTTATTGATGTTTAAACATTTTACATATACAGTTTTAAGCCTGCAACTTCCAAGAAAATAGTCTATCAGAAACATTGATCTTTTCTATTTAAATGTTAATAAAATTTCATATTTTTAAAACTTTTTAACACGCGGTTGCAAAGATATTTAGTTTAAAAATTCGAGAAAGTACTATGGAAATCTCTTCCTTAATTTATTTCCGTATTTAGGTATGTAATTAAACATTTGAAATTAATCTCTGTACATCTGTAGAATTTCTCAGATTAATGTATACTATAATTAAGATAAGAGAAGCTCCTTAAGCCTTGTATAATCAGTGTTAGGAATAGATCTAGAAATTACCATTATTAACAAAAATATCCTTTAAACTTGAAAAGTGTTCAGTTTTCTTGCTTTTGAAAATAATCTTTGAAGTTTTTTATGCTGTTGAAAATAATCTTGAAGCTTTCTTGCTGTTGAAAATAATCTTTGAAGTTTTCTTACTGTTGAGAATAATCTTTGAAGTTTTCTTGCTGTTGAAAATAATCTTTGAAGTTTTTTATGCTGTTGAAAATAATCTTTGAAGTTTTCTTGCTGTTGAAATAATCTTTTGATTTTTTTTTGCTGTTGAAAATAATCTTTAAAGTTTTCTTGCTGTTGAGAATAATCTTTAAAGCTTTCTTGCTGTTGAGAATAATCTTTACAGCTTTCTTGCTCTTAAGAATAATCTTTGAAGCTTTCTTGCTTTTGAGAATTATCTTAAAAAGCCTTCTTGCTCTTGAGAATAATCTTTAAAGCTCTCTTGCTCTTGAGAATAATCTTTAAAGCCATCTTTCTGTTAAGAATATATAATTTTGCAATTTATTCCTCATTAACTTGTTTTGGGATTTTATAAAGCTAAGATTTTGCAATTTTGTGATTTTGAACTTTTTGATCTTTGTACTTCAAGATTTTGTAACCTCAGGGTTTTGTAACTTTGGGATTTGTCAGATTTATCAGGCCAAATTATCTCACTCAGAAGTTCCGATTTGGGCAAATTTGTGTTAGGGATTTTGCACTTGATATTTTGTAGACACTAAAATATTCACATATCTGTTTACTTAAATATTCATTTTACAAAAATACTAAATTTCATTTTAACTTTGTCCCTATATTAATTATTTTTCTTCAAAATTCTCTAGCAAGCCTGTCCTGACCATTGATGTAAAAAAAATGAACTTTCTGAAGCAATTTTAGCAGCTATAAGATTTGGAGAGCTTAAATGTTTGTGAAGATGTTGGTTGTAAACACACTATCCATGAATATTATGAAATTAGTAAACTTTGAAAAGTTTGTAACAATGTTAGAAGTAGAGTACTAAAGGAGCACAAATTACAAAGATAGACACGATATAAAGTAATTGTCCTCTTTCAGAAAAAAACCGAACGATGGATCGTTAAGAGAAATGAAAAAACGATTGCCTTTTTAAACAACCCACAAACCAAACAATCTTATCAAACAATTGTGAAAAAAACTATTGTTTTCTTTCTGAATAAACTATTGTTTATCCAAACTTTTCTTTAAACTATAGTTTTTTTAATGAACGAACGATTTTTTCGAACAAACTTTGAAACAAAAATCGTTTTTTTACTGAAAGAAGGATTTTGCTGAACGAACAATTTTGCTAAACAATCCTTCAGTGAGAAAAAGAACGTAATAGATGGAAAATGTACGATAATTTTGAGAGCGAACAAAATAAAATAACAATGAACGAACGGAATAAAAAAAGATGAACGCGCTCATCTCTACATGGGAGAGGTTTAACACACATGACAGAGGTTGTCATAAAAGATTGCAGAACTAAAGCATCTCTGCCTCTCTCGTCCTATCTGTGTCATCTTTGACTGGGAGCAATATAATTTATATTCCAAAGTTGTGAAGGAACTGCACTAGTATACACCAACTTCTCATCAGGTACTTTCTACCAGAATAATAATTCAGGGGGACATAAGGAGACAGAGTTTGGGGGGTTATAAAGTGGTAGGGATTCAAGGGGTTATTAATATACAAAGATTAGGGGGTTTTTAAGTGATATGGGTTCAGAGTGACATAATGAGGCTGAGTTTAGGGGGTAAAAAATTAATAGGGATTCAAGGGGACATAAAGAGACAGAGTTTAGAGCGTTATAAAGTGACAGGGATTCAGAGGAACATAAAGAGACAGAGTTTAGTGGGTTATAAAGTGACAGGGATTCAGGGGAACATAAAGAGACAGAGTTTAGTGGGTTATAAAGTGACAGGGATTTAAGGGAACATAAAGAGACAGAGTTTAGGGGGTCACAAAGTGATACCGATTCAATTGGACATAAAGAGATTGATTTTGAGGGGGTATAAAGTATTAAGGATTCAGGGGGAAATAAAAAGAAAGAGTTTAGGAGTGTTTAAAGTGATAGGAATTTGGGGGAACATAAAGAGACTGAGTTTAAGGATTTTTAAAGAGATAGAGATTTGGTGGAACATAAAGAGACTGAGTTAGGAGGTTAAAAAGTAAAGAGCTAATTATATAGTAAAACTAAAACAAGCTATAGTAACGTACATTACTTGTCTAGTATTCTGTCCATTGAGAAAATAAAAAGTGTAGAAAATGTAAATTTTGATGCAAATCTAACGACCAACTCAAAGAAATGAGAATATGCTAGATGGAAAATACAAAGGCCACTAAATAATTTTCAAGGCGACTTTACACAAATAAATTCTGTTTTTATTCAATATATTGTACAATGTAGATAATCTAGTTTACGTATTTTCAAAATGTTGGTCCAAATAAACAGCTTCCTTTCCCTTGTAGCGATAAACATGAATAATGTGAATACTGGAATATGAAACTGGAATCTTATATCCAGCTTTATAGTGGTATAATGGTTGTAGTGAAGGGGGACCCTATAGAATAGTAATATCATACCTAACTTCATAAAGAATAGGACTTATATCTATATTCATATATAAAAAAGTAATCTCTCTGTTTTTTTTAGATTTTTTTTTTATGTCCAATCACAACTAAGAACCTTACGACAGACTTTCCTCAAATTTTGATTGGGGAACTCGGGAGAACCACGGGAATGTTCTTAGCTTGGTTTAGAGGTTCAAAGTTGAGTGGGTCGACTTTTAATTCGAAAAGTTTCCGGTAAAATCGACCAAGTGCGGGTAAACGACGGGAGTAACTATGAGTAACCTGGGCAATGCTAGGTTCCTAAGCTAGTACATATATTAATAAATAACTAGCTTGGGAATCCAGCTTTGCCTTGAAAATAAAAATGTGAACCCATGCAATTTTGAATTTCAAAACAGGCTAAGAACATTCCCGTGGTTCTACCGAGGTCTCCGATTAGAATTTCCTCCTACAGGGTGAATACATGTTAGGTATACTGGGGTACAATATCTACTTGCATTACTACAGGGTCAGTACATATCGTACACTGGAGTACAATACTTACTAGAATTACTACAGGGTGAGTACATGTTAGGTATACTTGGGTACAATATCTAATAGTATTACTACAGGGTGAGTACAAATTGTATACTGGAGTACAATACTTACTAGGATTACTACAGGGTTAGTATATGTTAAGTATACTGGTGTACAAAACTTACTATAGTATCACTACAGGGTGAGTACATATTATATACTGGAGTACAATACTTACTAGAATTACTACAGGGTGAGTACATGTTAGGTATACTGGAGTACAATACTTACTAGTATTACTACAGGGTGTGTACATGTTAATTATACTGGAGTACAAAACTTACTAGTATTAATACAGGGTGAGTACATGTTAGGTATACTAGAGTACAATACTTACTAGTATTACTACAGGGTGAGTACATGTCAGGTATACGGGAGCATAATACTTACTAGTATTACTGCAGGGTGAGTACATATTGGGTATACTGGAACAGAAACCCAGATAGGAGTGGAAGAACCCAATGAGAAACTGGACGGACCTGAACACACACTTTCCTTTAATCAATATAAAAACAAACAAACCTCCAATCGTTCAAATAATTGTTTACTGCACAATATGATTACAATTAACATAGGTTTAAGCAATACAGTCGTTGTCGGAGGTCATTACGTTAAATGATGTAATGTGTAAATCTGCCAAGTTCCAATATAATCTAATAGACCATTTGATCTAATCATTTTCATGGCGCATCAAGAATGGAAAAATGTTTTTTATGATTATTTGCCCCCCCCCATTTTTTATTCTTAAAGATGGTTTGTTCCAGTGCTAAACAGAAAGTTTGTGAAAGTTTTTTATCTTTAAAATTTTGTTATCAAAAATTTATGACTGATAATTTCTAAAAAATGTTAAAGCATGTCAGTTATAAACATCATAAATTACAACATCATTTGCGACATTTTACTCAGAGGAAAGAAGGAAGACGACTATAAATCTACCTATGCGAGATGATAAGGGAGATGAACGCCTTGAACTCCTTCTTGTTGAACCAGAGCAGACGGGAGAGTAAAGACATGCAATGTATTCTACATTCAACAGTATTTATAAACTTTGTCCATATGAGAGGGGTTAATATTTTTTAAACTACACCCCCCCCCCCCCCGGGGTTATGATTTTTAAAGATCTGGGGATGTAAATTTGGACATCAAAAGACAATTTTTTAAAATTATTTCTAATACTTTTTACCTAATATTTTATCTATCTTCCCATAAAACCCATTTTTTCCCTAATTCAGCAAAAAACATTAAAAATTTAAGAGTGGTGGAAATGATTTTTAAAATAGGGGGGGTAATTTTCAAGAAAATATACACCCCTGATCCACATAAATTAATGTCAACCTCCATAAAATGAGTCACATGCTCAATTCTCAATTCTCAATGGTTCCCTTATCGGTTAAAAAAATTAAGAGATTTTTATGATTTTCTCTCTAAAATATTGATAAACTTTAATGGCTACTTCTCTTTTAAGTAAGTAATGGATGTATATAGCAAACATAGAGAAGAAAGTCGACAAAATTGATCTATATTCAAGATAAAATCAACATGATAATTGCTTGCTCAATGTTTTACAAGGAACTGTTTGTTTTGAATCTTCATGACGGTAACAATCTCAAGAACTGAAGAGGGTTGACCCAGACCAAAATATATGTTCAATAAAATGTGGAACTAACACATACTTTATGAACTCTATGAGATTTGAAAAGTCATCAACACCAAATTTTAAATTGTAGAGAATTAGACAAGTAACTATACTATACAAATGAATAGAATAGGCACTTAACAGAGTTAAGCTTTCTATAATTATATTCAAAATATAAAATACAAAAAAGGCAACAAAACTATTTGCTTTCGTTTTTTATGCAAAAATTGTCCTCTCATTTTTCTCCGCAAATGGGGTAATATAAGATCTATAAAGGCAACAAATCTTTATCCTATTTATTATAAAAAGATGTCCTCTTATTTATTCTGCGAATGGGGTTAATATCAAATCGATTAAAAAGAAAATTGGAAATTCTTTGTGTTGAGCGAGTTGAGCAGAGTCTTGATTTTAAATATTTATAAAATAAACTCTTTGAACTCTTTGATCCTTTATGTTAAGCAGAGTAAAGTATTCTCTCTCGATAGTAGAAAAGTTTTACAATTAAACTTTGGTTTCCAATCCATTTATCAACCTTCCACCCACCCTCCCCCAATATTTCTCTATATCCTTTCTTTATAACTCNAAACTAAAACTATGCATTTTTTCTTCTTTAATTATAAAAAAGCCATATATATTCCATATATATTCCAATAAATCTTGAAAATAATAAAAATATAAAAAATCGTGTCTTAAAATTATGACATTTAATAATTTCTTTTATTATCATACTTATCTATGTATGTTTGTATAAATTGAATGCCTGAGTTTGGGAGAAGGAGGATCACTGTTTCTTTCCAAGCAGTTATGAGGGCATCCAAGCAGTACAAGAATCCTATTATTTTAAAAATTCAATAATTTTCTTTTCAATTTAAAGTTTAAAATATTTCGGAGAAATTAATGAAAAAATAACAATATCACTACTTTGTAAGTTTTCAATACTTTCCATATCCGTGCAAGTTCTATCAGAACTTATAGAAATTTCTGAACTTTCGGTACATTCTTTCCTTCACTACTTTCTATTTTAACTACTTCTTCAGTACTTTCTACATCTTCAGTACCTCTGCCCCTTAAGTATTTTCTTGTACCTTCAGTACTTTTTGTACCTTTAGTACTTTCTGTATCTTTAGTACTTCAGTACTTTCTAAACTTTCAGAAAAATACCATTGGTACTTTCTCTACCTTCTGTATTTCCTGTACCCAGTGTACTAACCTGACTGATATGTCCATAATTAGTGAATGTGGTGACATTGAATCCAGGTCATTCTTTCCTTCTTCATCCTGATACAGATACAGATACAGATACAGATGCAGATGCAGATTCAGATTCAGATTCAGATACAGATTCAGATACAATTTCAGATACAGATACAGATACAGATTCAGATACAGATTCAGATTCAGATTCAGATTCAGACAAAAGACTCAGACAAAGACAGAGACAAAGACACAGACAAAGACACAGACACACTTGCAGACGCAGAGTAGAAACAGACACAGAAAAAGACCCAGACACAGACATGGACACAGACACAGATATAGATACAATCACAGATACAGATACATCACAGACGCAGATGCAGACGCAGACACAGTCACAGGCACTATACAGACACAGATACAGATTCAGATTCAACTACTAATACAGACACAGACGTATAGAAACAAATACAGACACAGACGTCAGACACAGACACAGACACAGATAGATTTAGATTCAGATACAGACACAAACACAAATACAGCTACAGCTACAACTATAGCTTCTAACCTGTTTTGTATCCTTGTTTACTAAAATCCCTAGTTCTAGAAGTGTAGTTACTAAACTAAGTATTTTCTCTAGAACTCTACTACTGCTGAACTTCTCCTTGCAAATGATACTGTGCAGGCCCTGAAATTTAATTTTTTAAAGTATATAAGTGGAAACAAACAAACTGTGGAATAAGAAGACGATTGTTAAACTCAAATTTAGTTCTATGAAGATGCATTAGTTCAATTGTGCAGTGTACACATGGACCCATTTTACTTGATTACTTGATTTTCAAATTTAAAGCTTCTGGTAAACTATTTTCTTTATGAGAGCATAAATATTTTAATGTCGTCTTCATATTTCACAGTTTTACCTATTCCACTGTATATTTCAAATATATATCGCACTGTATATTTCATCTATATATCGCTAAAATTAAGGGGTTTTTCATTTAATTTTCTTAACAGTTTGAGATTTATTTAAAACATAATAGATAAAAGATCAGAGGTCGAATTTTATTAATTGCAGGAAGTGTTGAATTAGGTATGGCTAATTCAACTATTTCTCTAGTACTGGACGTCATATGAACCAATCTTACTTAATCTTTGCCTACGCGTCGATTTTTATAAATCCCACCTTTGGTCAACTTTCTATGGTATTTAAATGTAATTTTTAACAAAAATTTACCATAACTGGAGTCCAGAGTATGATAATTGAACTCTAATTAAAATCTCCTGTATTGGAGCATTCCTGGAGCAGAATCTTGAGATCCATACTTCGAGTTTCAGTAATAAAAATATCTCCTGTACTGGAGTAGTATACCTGGAGCAGAACCCTGAGATCCATACTTCCGGTTTCAGTAATATAAAAGAGAGATCCTGCAGTATCTCCAGACCCTAATTACAACTTTTAAATTCCTTTCCTTAGGACATGAATTTCTTTTTGCCAGAAACTCTGATTTTCTAATACCCATATCCTTGCAATCCTATGTCAAAACCCTTTGATATTCCAAACTATGAAGTTTGTTAGGTAAAATAGTTTAAGTTGAAATAGCAAAGGTTTACACTATCGGGTTGCAAAGATCAAGGGATATTGGAACAATTTATTTCGTGACAAAAACTTAGTTTACTTGGCTTAGTTGAATAAAAGAATAATACATATAATCCTTAAACTCGGATTGGTAAGCTTAAAATTTCAAAAAGTGAAATTGTGCACTGTACTTCCCTTACATTTCTATTTAGCCTGAACCCTCCCCCCTTTTCCTTGCTTTCCTTGCTTTCCTTGCTTTCCTTGCTTTCCTTGCTTTCCTTGCTTTCCTTGCTTTCCTTGCTTTCCTTGCTTTCCTTTCTTTCCTTTCTTTCCTTTCTTTCCTTTCTTTCCTTGCTTTCCTTTCTTTCCTTTCTTTCCTTTCTTTCCTTTCCTTCCTTTCTTTCCTTCCTTTCCTCCCTTTCCTTCCTTTCCTTCTTTTTCTTTTTTCCCCTCCTTTTCTTCCTTTTCTTTCCTTTTCTTTCCTTCCTTTCTTTTCTCCTTTCCTTTCGTTCCTTTTTTCTTTCCTTCCCTTTCCTTCCCTTTATTATTCTGCTTTTTTTTAGTTTGTATTTTAAGTTGTATTCTCTGTTTGCCTATCTTTTTATGTCCATTGTCCGAACAATTATGAACCCCTTATCCGATTTGCCTTAAATTTGATTTTTAGAACTCGATAGGTTGGTTTGCAAATTCTAAATTGAGCGGGTCGACTTTTATGGGGAAAGTTCAGTTTCCAGGTGTTGCTGGATTCCCAAGCTAGTTAATAACAAAACAATAACTTGGTTAATTGTCTCATCTCATCTTTAGGACTTTCTTTCCTTTTTTTTTGAGAGTTTTATTCAAAGTTATGTGTAATGTAAAACTTATCTTTTTAGATAATCTATCCAAGTATGTATAATTGTTTTACCTGAAGAGTGGAACTGAGGCTGGTTTATGCTCCGGGGTATTAGAAGCACTGGCTCCTGTCACTGTGATCTGTGGATTTTCACCACGTTTCATTCCACAGAACCTTAAATAGTTCATTTATTTAAAATGCTTAAATATCTTAAATTTCTCTGAACAAAAAGACAAACAAAACCAAAAGTGTTCATTTTCAAGAAATTGTTTGCGTAGAAAGAATTACTTATTCAATCATATTTTTCTGTAATCAGATCTGGAATAAATAAGATTCATCTCTAATAATGAATTAATTTTATCAGATGTTTCTGTAAACAGATCTGGAAAAAATAAGATCCATCTCTAATAATTAAAAAAAATAATTTGTCAAAACAGAATCAATATTATAAGGTTTACATATTTGGTTTGGTTGCCTTGTGTTTAGAATAATTTAGTTTCTAAAGATAAAAGAGTTTGAGCTATGATATAAATATAAGCAAATATCCACGTTTACATCAAGGCAGGGGGAAATCTTTAAAACACTTTTTAACAGTAATTTTAAAGGGTGAAGGGTTCCTTAAAGAGACTGTCCTTTGATTTTCAAGGAACCCTTCAATTAAAAGGGGTTTGTCCAACTCACAGCGGTACCTTTAAACGTATCTCTGATCCATAATGTGGCAGATATCTTCGTTTTTCTAGCTTTAAACGCGCTTAATTTGTTCAATTTCTGTAGTATATATCTTTAAGCCTCTGTTGCAAGCTTTAAATAAATCACAATTAAACAAATCGTTTTCAAAAGAGCTTTAAGGGGTATCGTTATCAATAAATGGAGGGTCCATTGATATTACATCTAAAGTACCTTCCAAGGCAAATCCATGCAATTGGAATTTTTTTCATGAATATTTTGAATTAACCGAAGTATAAACTAAAATGTACGATTAATTACGATATAAAGCTTTGTCAAGATATTTTTTTTAATTTAGAACTCTGGTATGTTTCGGTTTTCTGCAACATATCTCCATTTAAATATAATCCATGGAGTAACTTGAAAATAATCACATTTTTTAACATGCAATTGTCTGCTTTTACTGAGCTGAAACTTTAGAATGAGATATCCTTAATCCCAAATACTTAATCTGAGTATCCAATGGACACACTTTTGATTTATTTTTTAAATCGTTTTTATAGTTTTTAAAAACTTGTTTCGCAAAACTTCATTAAATTTCCCAAATCAACCAAAAAAAACTTAAAGAAATTGTTTGCGTTCCGCTCAAACAGGTATTAATTGTGGGAGAAAAAATTCATAATAGTTTTTTAATGCATAATTCTGTAGTTAAAAAAATTTTAAAATTTCCTTTATAAGTTTAAATAAAAGATTTAAAAAAAATATTCATACCATATTCATCATACCAACACTAAAATAAAGCAGCTGGATGAAAAGAGACATGATGCAATGTATCGAGAATAAATAATTAAATAGTTTGAATCATAAAATACATTTATCTTGAAATACGTTCTGCGGGTCCCTAAAAAGAACATTCCATAAAAGAGTTACACGAGGCTTAAAATACCTCTTCATAACTAAAATCCATTTAAAATACAAAAACATGCATGCAACATCTATATTCTAACAGAAAAATGTATTAAGTTATAATGATAAATATTGTAAATATTAATATTTGTCAAATATTGTTTTGACATGTAAATAAGCAACACTCTCAAACAGCAGGCAAGATTCTAAATCTCGTTTGGAAAAAAAAATTAAATATATAAATAATAATTTTATGAAAAGCATAAACCTGAAATTTAAATTTAAATTTTTAAATAAATGTATTTCCAACGCAATTGCGAGCCAATTAATTCCGCGCCATTCCAAGCAATTCCTTGCAATCGCGCACAACGGAATTCCGATTGGAAACCCTAATATACACTGTACAAATTCCATAAGTAAATAAAACCAGTTGTTCAGTCTAGGTTTTATCATGTTCAAGAAAATAACACACATTCTAAGAAAATTTGACCATGCACATTGCACACTGCACACAAAATATGAAGTTAGATTTGAAAACTTGATCAAAAATTTTAGTTTGCGAATTTTATGTTAATTTCAAAATCGGACAAGCAGAATCCCTTCTTGTGGTTTTACAGGAACTGTATGCGTAATTTCTAGTCACCCTCAATGTAAAGATAGCAATGCCTTATCTGATAATAATAGTGTGGAAGATAACGTCGTTTTTCTGACTCGAAAATTCGATCATTTTTCCAGGCTTTCTTTAAATTAAGAAATCCGCAAGTTACTTTTGAAAGAATCCACAAATCAAAATAAACGGTTTTCATAACCAAAAAAATGCATACTTGATCAAACATAGCTTTAAAGGGTACCCTTGTAAATCAGACATTGCCATCTTTACATGAAAGGTCACTGGAAATTACACTTCAGCAGAGTTTTATTTAATTTTTCTTTCAGATGGTCTAGCTTGCCTGAATTTGTTTATTGTTTTCCTTTAGTTTAAAGGGACTGTTGCAGTAGATTCAATTGACCAGCTCTAAGCGTGGATCTGTGGCATGTCTAATTGAAAAAGTACCCCTTAAATCTGAAGATTTAAAGGGTACCGTTGTGAATCGGACATGTCAATCATAAATGAGGGGTCACTTAAAATTACGTTGACAGTACCTTTAGATAAATAAAGATTTATCATGCTGAGTTGACATCTCTAGGTGTATTCTAACACTTGATCTAATGAATACACTTACTTACCTACTATCTAATAGTTCATCTATCAGACAGCTGGATATATAATTTATATTCAAAACGGGAAAATAACTAGGGTTTCTTTCTTGGCTTATTTAACTTACGCGCACTTGGAGGGAGGCGTTGCAGAGGCGCCATGATCCCCGCAAAAATGACCTCCGAACCTCAGGATTTGCAGAATTACCTCCAGGCCCAGCAAATATAAAAATTGAATATTATATATGTCTGTAGATATATAAATAATATATATATGTATATAGAAAATATATGTTTCAGTAAGGGAAAAAGAATTGAAAGGATATAATTGAATAAACCTGTTTTCTGAGACGTGTATTGTCACTATGGATTAGATCTGGACTTGAAGGTGTTTATACAAATAAAAAATTGGAAAATAATTCCATAAAAGAGGATCCATCAGAATAAAAAGACATATCTTCAACACATCAGAAATATAGAATAATGTAAAAAAAAAATTTCTTTTAGATGTTAGCAATTTAGAATGTCAAAAAGTCCAGGGGAAAAAATAAACAATTTCTTTATATATTAAAAGGTCAAAAAGTCCAAAATAAAAAGATATTTTTAAGGACATTTGAGTGTCAAAAACGCAAGAATAAAAAAATATATTTTTTGAAGATCATTAGAATGTCACAAATTTCAGAATAAAAAGACATTTTTAATATAAAGAAATAGAAAATAAGAAAAAAATAGCGTGTCTTAAACTCAAGAGTAAAAAAATAGTGTGTCTTAAACTCAAGAGTAAAAAAAAATAGTGTGTCTTAAACTCAAGAGTAAAAAAAAATAGTGTGTCTTAAACTCAAGAGTAAAAAAATTCTTTGCATCATCGAATTAGGATACACAGACATTTTTAAAGGTATTATAATGCCAAAAACTCTAGATTAAAAAGAAGTTTCTTTAAGATTTTAAGATGTAATCTTGCCTTTAACCCTTGTTGGAGCAAAAATGATAAAAATGCATCTCATAGAACTAATGATATATTTATGTACTTTCCCAAAAAGTTCAAATTTTAGCAAAACCTTAAGAGAAAACAAAATTGGGGAAAATGGATAAATGTTAAAAAAGAAACATTCAAAAAAGTTTGTTTGTAAAACACTAATTTAAACAGGATGTCCTGTAAAAAAACAGGAAAAATTGGTCCAAAGATTAGACAAACACTAATTTAAACAGGATGTCCTGTAAAAAAACAGGAAAAATTGGTCCAAAGATTAGTAAAACACTAATTTAAACAGGATGTCCTGT